GCCCCGGGCGACGGGCTGGTTTTGGGCCGCCCACGGGCCGCAGGCCAATTTTACACTCTTATCAGTGTGAATGTTAACATGTCAATGTGAATATTCATGCCTCTAAATTAAATGCTTTCACCACAAATTTATTTTAAGTTAAAAATTAATTAAAGGATCCTCCAATAATATTTAATTTGCACCTTAGAATTCACCACAAAAATATTTGAGATTGTAATATTATTATTTAATTATTTACTTAATTTTTATATTCGGGTTCTCACATGTATAACTAAGATGTATATTATGTTCAACATGAAAGTAGAGAAAGCGTCCAGAGAAATCAAGTGCTTCGCTTGTTTGATACTGAAAGACAGGTTAAAAACATGATAGATTCGGGTGAGTTCAAAGACGATGATAGGAAAGGCATTGATGTACCATTTTTTAATTTAGAAAGCATACTAGTTGCTACAAATACCTTCTCAGATGCAAATAAGCTTGGACAAGGGGGATTTGGGCCTGTTACAAGGTTACAGTCCTTTCTTTAATACTCACCAAAGCTCATATACAAGAATTCTATGTTTAGTGACAAAATTAATTAGTTTCGTGAAAATTTGAACAGGGCATTTTTCCCAGAGGAGAAGAAATTGCTGTGAAGAGGTTGTCAAGTCATTCGGTATAGGGATTGGAGGAATTTAAAAATGAGGTTGTATTGTTCTCTAAACTTCAACATCGGAATCTTGTTAGACTTTTAGGCTATTGCATCAAAGGTGATGAAAAGATTTTACTCTATGAGTATATGCCAAACAAAAGCTTAGATTCCTTCATATTTGGTTAGCCTTTAAACTTTTTACTCTTAAAGCTTTTAGTACGTAGATTATATTCCATTTGATAATTAATAGAAACTGCTCTGAATCATGCTTTCCAATGGACAAATTGCAAGATCGAACTCTATGCGTGCCATTAGACTGGGACAAACGCTTCGATATCATTTTCGGAATTGCTCGAGGGCTTCTTTATCTTCATCAAGACTCGAGGTTGAGAATTATTCATAGAGATTTGAAAACAAGCAATATTCTATTAGATGGGGAGATGAACCCCAAAATTTCAGACTTTGGCTTGGCGAGGATAGTTGGGGGAAAAGAACCAGAAGCTAACACCGCTAGAGTAGTCGGAACCAAGTAAGTAATAACATCGCTAATATCCTTTTGCTGTGCTATATTTATATACTAACTTGTTTGGATATTTGATGTAATGCGGCGGCTATATGTCTCCAGAGTATGCATTGGATGGATTGTTCTCAATTAAGTCTGATGCCTTTAGTTTTGGAGTCATTGTACTAGAGATTGTGAGTGGGAAGAGGAACACCGGATTTTACAAGTCCCAACAAGCCTTTAACCTTTTGGGTCATGTGAGTACTAATTTGATCACATCCAATGATTTGTTGTCATGTTATTTCATTCAACTCTGATTTTAAAGCAATCTCAGGCCTGGAGATTTTGGAGAGAAGAGAAGGCATTGGATTTGATGGATCAGACACTGCTTGAATCTAGCAACAGAGGCGAAGTTATGAAGTGCATAACAGTTGGGCTTTGTGTGTACAGAGAGAGCCTAGTGATCCTCGTAGCATGCCAAATGTAGTTTTCATGCTTGGCAGTGAAACTACAACACTTCCGAATCCTAAACCACCAGCTTTTTTGGCGAAGAATTGGCTTTCTGATGCACCTTCTTCTTCTTCTTCTTCTAGTAAACCAGAAACATTCTCCAATAATGCGCTGACAGGTTCTGTAGAAGAAGGCCGATAAGTAGTGGAATTTTTCATGAATCATGACTTATTCTTATTAGTTTGCATCACCATATTTATGCAATCTAATATTTTTTGGAAAACATAGCTTGTAATTGTGCAATAAATGGTTACTTTGTTCCATCAACGAGGGGAATAATTCATATTTTAATGGTGTGTTTGGTTGGGGGATTTGGGGAGGGATTTGGAAAGGGAAAGGGAAAAGGTGTGTGAAACTATGTGAAATATAGGCATGATTTATTCACATTTCACCTACCGTTTCCATTTCCCTTTCCAAATCCCTCTCCAAATCCCCCAACCAAACACAGCATAAATGTTCCCTCTTATAGGAAAAAAACAAAAAATCAATAAACTGTTGAATCAGTTGAATTGAATTTCCATTCAACATGTGATTCCTTCTAAATGTCAGAAGAATTATTTCAACATTTTAACACTTTCAAATCTTTGGCCAAGTCTGACTCTGATATGCTTGCATTTTGCCTATCCAAATTTAAAGTTTCCGGACAAATTGCATGAACACCATTTCTGAGGTATAGTTTCAGAGAAATTGATCACATAAAACATCATCGTGGAGTCACATTCAACTACATTAGTAGATTCTATGTGAAGCTCGATTTTGCAATGTAAATATATATAGATAATGTGTGTTAAACAGAAGTCATGTTTTGAATACATTAGTTAATTTTATTTTTTCTCCAAAATTAAATTGAATAGGTTTTTTTTTTTTTTCCCCCCCGATCTGCCTATCATGTGGAGCAACTGCAAGAGTGTTCTTCATTGATAGTTTGAACATACACCAAAACTTCAGAGAATCAAAAGAAATAAATAGAAAGTCAGGAAAAGTGGCACTAGTTTATAGGAAAGAACATTGTTGAATATGAATTGAATTGAAGAATACAAGGCTGCAAGCCTTGGAACACAACACTCTTGTAATTATTATTCTCATTTGAAAGGAAACATTGGTGCCTCACTACCTAATTACAGAACACGTCAGACAACCAAGTTCACTTTCTTTTCTTAGCCTTGAGTACAAGTTTTTTTTCTTCTTAGTCTTGAGTATATATATATTTTTTCTTTTTTTGTGGCAAAGTTTGATCGTTTCGGAGTTGGTGCTTGCATTATACCTCATTGCTCTAGCCTCTACTTTGCTGACTTTTCAACTTCTCTTTTTTGTAACTTTTAGTAGGGGAATGAAAAACCCAGTTGCCTACAATACATTGTTGAAATATACTATGAAGTACGAAAACTTACTCCAAATTTTATCTCAAAACAAGTTGTACAATGTAGATTTAAAGTTAGTGAGATGTGGGCTACATCTAAAACGATTGTGATCGAGAGAAATGTTATTCTAGATAATTTTTCTAAATTTGTAGTACTATCGATACATTGTTTACTTCTTGTTATTACTCTATTCTTTGTTCTATTTCTACTTTTTAGTTGCTGTCACTTTCTGTATCAAGAATTAGCCTCTCTTTTTATTTATTCTGCCATTCTATCTTTTTTCTTTTTTTGGTTTTTGATTTTTTTGATATGGTTGTTCTACATGTACAAAATTTGAATACAACCCTTTCACATGGGGTAGAACCCACACATTTTAATGAGTCTCACCGCATGTGAGAAGGTTTGTGTGCACTTAGAATTTTTATGTATATCCTATAAGCAATTTGTTTAGTGTTGATGCTAATTATTAGCAGGATTTGCCTTCTCTAGTTTTTAATTAAGATTTTCTTCAAAAAGTTTGCGATCTCAGTTTGTGACAATCCTTATAAAGCCCACTGTTTCTGTTTATTTTTATTTTTATTTTTTTTGTGGACAATTTAAATCTATTGGAAGTGGTGCTTGGATTGTACTTCATTACCCTTGGCTCTAATTAAGGAAAAAGAAAAGAAAAGATGTCAGTTGCCTGCATTTACTTTTGCTAGTTATTTTTACTCAATTCTTAGTGCTAATTACACTTTATAGCTCCTTTGATTCCTAGCATCAAATGTTAGCCTCTCTTTTTCTTTATTATGCCTATCTGACACTCAAGTGGTTGTCATTAAGAGGCCTATCACCTCCTGGATGAAATGTGTTAAAGTTTGTTATGCATTTATACATACTCGATTTTATTTCAGCATTTTGATTTCTTAAGTTTCCTTTGCAATAAAAAATCCAATTTTGAAAATTTTGAACATGTATATGTCGCAGTGGTTCAACAACAATACTCAATTTTTTTGTCTTTAGAAAGAAATTAACTTAAAAGCATCGATGTATTTTTTTAAAAAAAAAATGTTGAATGAAGGCAACAATCAACTGTACTATATAATACAGAAAAATGTACGTACACAGAAATTCGAGAGAGAGACAAGAACGTGGCCCATCTTTAAAGTGACACATTAATTCAAGAATAATTCTACATCAGAATTTTGCAGCGCATTTTCATACCTATCAGTAGTTTGTGATGACTTTCCTTGTGAACATAAACATAGGAAAGCCTAACCAAAAAATCAACTGTGTCTTCAAGTACCACTTGAGTGTCTGTCTGTCTACCATTAGTTTCTTCTAGCAGATTGAGATACATACCAAATGAATGATGGATCACCTTAAACCAAAAGATCCATCAATGGCTTGCTATTTTCTACTGAATATTATGATCATCCTGTCCTCTTCTCTCTTTCCTGTTTGTGCTAGTGAAGACATTTTGAGAGCAGGCGAATCAATCAACACTAACCAAACCTTAACTTCAGCTGGTGGAAATTTTGCGTTAGGCTTCTTCAGTCCAGGAAATTCCACCAACAGATACATTGGTATATGGTACAAAACAATCTCCAAACAAACAGTCATATGGGTTGCTAACAGAGAAAACCCTCTTGCCCAGAATTCTACAGCGGTTTTCAGGCTCGGTGATGATGGGAATCTTGTGATTTTTGATAGAAGAGGACAGGTAGTCTGGAAAATAAATGCACCAATTCTCAATTTGGCCATTAACTCCACAGTTGCACAGCTTTCAGATAATGGAAATCTCGTTCTGAGACTTGGTGACGACACTCTATTATGGCAGAGTTTTGATAATCCAACTGATAGATTCCTGCCTGGCATGAAAGTCAGGTTGAATCGGAAAACTGGACAGCGAAGCCCTCTATACTCATGGGTAGACAATGAAGATCCTCGACGAGGAATGTTTTCAGTAGGCATAGATCCTGAAGGGCATCCACAGATTTTCATTTGGAAGCAAAACCAGACATATTGGAGAAGCACAGTATATGACTAGTTTTTCTTATATTGGATACAAATCTCAAGGTTTTGCCTCTTTTTTTACTTTTGTAGTAGAAGGTGATGAAATTTATCTCGGTTGCAGTGTCCCTGAAAGTTCGAATAAAATAAGAGGCATGCTAACTCCTAGTGGGCAAGCTCAGGTCCTTTTATGGGAACAAAGTGACAATTCATGGGTAGTTGCGTGGAAGTTGCCAGTAGTTGAGTCCAAATGTGATTTTTATGGCCAGTGTGCTCCATTTAGTAGCTGTGAACAAAATGGTTCGCATCCATTTTGCAGTTGTTTGCAGGATTTTGAACCTAAAGATCAGAATTCTTCGAATCTTGGAAATTGGACAGGAGGCTGTGCCAGGAAAATGGCACTGACGTGTGATCTGGGAGATTGGTTTTTTAAGTTTGAAAGGACAAAATTGCCCGATTATTCAATCTCTCTTGGAAATATGACTGTTAGTCAATGTGAATCCAAATGTCGTGACAATTGCTCCTGCACAGCTTATGCGTATGCTAATATGAGTAGAGAAACTACTGTGCATTGCATGAATTGGTTCGGGGATTTCGTGGACCTAAAAGGCAATGACTACCATGGCAAAGACCTTTATGTTCGCCTTCATGGCTCTGGCCTAGGTATGTATGACATCTTTGCTCGATTTCCGTTCAAAACACTTTTTTTTTCCTTCTAAATTTTAGTTGACTTCTAATGGGATTCCTGGAAATTTTGTGTTTTGTAATTGATGTGTAGTTGCTGATTGTAAGTTGAAGCATAGAAGCAGAAGTCTAATTGCGATTGCAGCAGCTGCCATCTCTGCAGGATTGCTTCTTATTAGTAGCTTTGGCTATGTCTTGAGGATGAGAAGACTGAGAAGTCAAGGTATCACAACCTCACAAATCAGAGCAATTTATTAGTACACTTGCAGTTTCTCATACATGGTTTTGCTTCACTGAATACTGTTGAGTACAGAGACAATAGATGGAGATTCGCATGAACTTGATGCCAACTCTAGTGCATCTGTTGCTGGGCCAAGTAATGGAGAATTGTTATCGTTCAGTTTAAGAAGCATATTAGCTGCTACTGACAACTTTTCTGAAGTAAAACAACTTGGAGAGGGTGGGTATGGACCTGTTTATAAGGTAACACAACGCATTTTGTTTTGTGGTAAAATAATGAAGTTGTCGTATGTTTCAGTTTCTATTATTTATTTCAATATTCTTACATTTCATCCTCATTTTTTCTTCTTTTTTCAGGGCAATTTGCCTGTAGTACAAGAAGTAGCCATTAAAAAGCTATCTAAAAAATCATTACAAGGAACAGAGGAGTTCATGAATGAGTTGAAACTTATTGCCAAACTCCAACATCAAAATCTTGTTAGGCTTTGGGGTTGCTGTGTTGAGCAAGAGGAAAAGATACTGATCTATGAGTATATGTGCAATGGAAGCCTAGACAAATTGCTATTTTGTACACCTTTACCTTTTTTCTGAAACTTCTGATAAACACAATTTCTATTATTTTTGAGGCTCTGATTTTCAGTTTCCCATCATTGATTTAGTGTTGATTTTCCATTAGGTCCTTCTGAGCAAGCCAATCTGGACTGGAGTAAACAATTCCGGATCATAGAAGGGATTGCTCAACGTCTTATCTACCTGCACAAGTATTCTAGATTGAAAGTCATTCACAGGGA